TGTTAGTCTTAATAAATTATATTATTTACTATATCTGAAGCCTGCGTTTCCCTGTGTCAGTCCACACACTTCTGGACATACCAGCATCCCTGACATTACAACAAGGCCATTCCTGACCAGAAGTGGCTGCACAGGGAAGCCATCTTGGCTTGTTGCTGGGAAGGATGCATCCTGATGAGGTTGTGTATTTGTCGTTGCTGGTCTTTGATGACAGAGAGTATGCTTATCAGACTCTGAAGGAGTATACCCGGGATCAACTACTAGAATGTATACGGGTCGCTCATGTTCTAGTAGATCAGGGCACAGAACTCTCTGAGGTGCAGCCTTTGATTCAGGCGTGTGCAGAGTTGGCTTCATCTGGTACCCCTGAAAGCAGGAATGACTTTTTGCCACCATTTAGTGCAGACCAGGTAGAGTCCCTGGTATGGTTATTAGAGGATGATGTGGATTGCTTCTTGGAGCATTATGCTGCATGTTCACCACAGGTATTAAGGGATTGTATAAACGCAGTGCAGACTTTGACCAGACAGGCTTTGTGTAAGCTGAGCTTTGTTCAACCCATACTGCAGACATGGTCAGACTTGTTGCACGCAGCCTCAGTCAGCTTACAACATCATTCCTCTGCTCAAGGCACTCTTCCTGCATCCCCGACAGCACCCCCAGTGACGGCCCAGTACACTCTGCTAACTACCTCATATCAGTCCTCTGCTCCCACTCGCTGCACCTATCCTGCCTTTAATTCTGTAAAGAAGTCCTCTGTAGCAACTGTTCCCTCCTCTGTTCCATCCTCCAGCTCTTCTGTCTTCAGCTGCTCTATCCGTTTACAAACCTGCGCTTACTTACAGTGCTCCGGTAACTAAAACCAGGAAAAGGCGAAAATTCTTTCCAACCAATACCATCCCGCCAGTATCCAAACCGGTCAGCCTGCCATCTGAGAACCTGCATTCCGTGGTGCAGCCTGGTACCTCGGCACCCACAATTCAGCCTGATGTCTCTACCCAGCCTGATGTCTCTACCCAGCCTGATGTCTCTACCCAGCCTGATGTCTTTACCCAGCATGATGTCTCTACCCAGCCTGATGAACTGATCTAGCCTGATGATCCTATTATGCCAGGTGACTCGGTGCCCGCTGTCGAGCCAGATGACCTGATGCCAGATGACCCGGTGCCCACTGTCGAGCCAGATGACCCGATGCCAGATGACTCGATGCCCGCTGTCTTGCCAGATGTCTAGGTGCCCGCAGTCTTGCCAGATGACTCGATGCCCGCAGTCTTGCCAGATGACTCAGAGCCCGCAGTCTTGCCAGATGACTCGATGCCCGCAGTCTTGCCAGATGACTCGGAGCCCGCAGTCTTGCCAGATGACTCGGTGCCCACTGTCTTGCCAGATGACTCGGTGCCCGCAGTCTTGCCAGATGACTCGGTGCCCGCAGTCTTGCCAGATGACTCAGTGCCCGCAGTCTTGCCAGACGACTCGGTGCGCGCTGTCTTTCCAGACGACTCGGTGCCCGCAGTCTTGCCAGACGACTCGGTGCCCGCTGTCTCGCCAGATGACTCGGCGCCCGCTGTCTCGCCAGATGACTCGGTGCCCGCTGTCTCGCCAGATGACTTGGCGCCCGCTGTCTCGCCAGATGACTCGGCGCCCGCTGTCTCGCCGGATGACTCGGCGCCTGCTGTCGAGCTTAAAGACCCGATGCCTGCTGTTTTGCCAAATGACTCGATGCCTGCTGTTTTGCCAGATGGCTCGGTGCAGTCTTGCCAGATGACTCGGAGCCCGCAGTCTTGCCAGATGACTCGGTGCTCGCAGTCTTGCCAGATGACCCGGTGCCCGCAGTCTTGCCAGATGACTCGGTGCCTGCTGTTCCGCCAGATGATGAGGTGCCCACTGTCTTGCCAGATGACTCGGTGCCCGCAGTCTTGCCAGATGACTCGATGCCCGCTATCTTGCCAGACGACTCGGAGCCTGCAGTCTTGCCAGACGACTCGGTGCCCGCAGTCTTGCCAGATGACTCAATGCCCGCTGTTCCGCCAGATGACTCGGTGCCCGCTGTCTTGCCAGATGACTCGGTGCCCGCTGTCTTGCCAGATGACTTGGCGCCCGCTGTCTCGCCAGATGACTCGGCGCCCGCTGTCTCGCCAGATGACTCGGCGCCTGCTGTCGAGCTTAAAGACCCGATGCCCGCTGTTTTGCCAAATGACTCGGTGCCTGCTGTTTTTGCCAGATGGCTCGGTGCCCGCAGTCTTGCCAGATGACTCGGAGCCCGCTGTCTTGCCAGATGACTCGGTGCCTGCTGCTCCGTCTGGTGGCCCGGTGCCCGCTGCTCCTCCTGGGGGCCCGGTGCCTGCCGCTCCACCTGGTGGCCCGGTGCCTGCCACCCTGCCTGGTGGCCCGGTGCCTGCTTCTCTGCCTGGTGGCCCAGTGCCTGCTGCCCTGCCTGGTGGCCCGGTGCCTGCTTCCCCGCCTGGTGGCCTGGTGCCTGCCGCTCCGCCTGGGGGCCCGGTGCCCGCCGCTCCGCCTGCGGGCCCGGTGCCCGCCGCTCCGCCTGGGGGCCCGGTGCCTGCCGCCCTGCCTGGGGGCCCGGTGCCTGCCGCCCTGCCTGGTGGCCCGGTGCCTGCCGCCCTGCCTGGTGGTCCGGTGCCTGCCGCCCTGCCTGGTGGCCCGCTGCCTGCCACCCTGCCTGGTGGCCCGGTGCCTGCTGCTCTGACTAGTGATCCGGTGTCCAGCCCAAGGTGCCTCTGTCCGGTGTCCAGCCCGAGGTGCCTCCGTCTGGTGTCCAGCCCGATGTGCCTCCATCCGGTGCCCAGCCCGATGTGCCAGTCTTTGATATCCCGCCAGTTACCAGACCCGGGCGGTGGAACATTTTGCCCAGCTAGGACTGTTTGGAGCGTCCTGAGGCTGCTCCTTGAGGGGGGGGTACTGTCAGGAATGGACTTGCCAATAATGGTGGGACTCACCTGCCTTGTGGGCTGCAGTACCAGGGCTGGCCAGCGGGTGCTCTCAGCAATCAGAGACTCACCGCTGCAGTCAGCCAAACACCTGAAACTGATTGCAGGGGTTGTATTTAAGGGATGGCCAGACTTGCAGTCAGTGCCTTGTTGTACTGTTTGCTTGGCCCTGGTTTCCTGATCCTGTTACTTCTGTCCTGACGCTGCCTGAACTCTGCCTGTACTGACCTCGGCTAGTCCTGACCACTCTCCCGCCTGCTCCTGGTACTCCGTTTGCCCGTTTGCTACCGACCCGGCCTGTCTGACTACTCTTGTATTGTATGTTTTTTATCTGTTGGAGGTTTGGTTCAGTTTGTTTGCACTGTGTTTATGTTTAGTTTTGCACTGCGTTTGTATTGTTAGTCTTAATAAATTATATTATTTACTATATCTGAAGCCTGCGTTTCCCTGTGTCAGTCCACACACTTCTGGTCATACCCGCATCCCTGACAGGATCCCTTTGACATAATATATCACATATGAACATATCCAAATACGGTCAATGACATAACTCAGGAGACTTGCCCCTTTGTTTACTTTACTTGTCATCTGTTGGACCTTTCATTCGGTGAGAGTGATGCAAAGGAACTAGACGTGGCATGGTTGGAGGTCATTTATTTTTTTCTTTTGGCAGGTCAGAAGGTGTTGGGCATTGTGACTGATATGGATCTACATCGCTGGACAACCAGGCCAGGGTTATGAGAAAGAGGCCCTTATCCTCATCAACACAGGGACAAGGTATCCCCCTAGATGAGAGCATGTGGCCTGATATGGTTCAGGAGGGGGGCAAACACCCTTCCCCCTCTTTCCAGACCCCCATAACCACCTGGCCGAGAAAGTGGAGAAGAGGCCTCTGTCCTCATCAGCAAGGGGACAAGGTGCATTGTCAGGTAGGTTCCCGCCTGTCAAGGTACCCCCTCATCTTGATTGCTCACACATATGCTGCTAGCTAGTAATTTTCCTAGTCTAGCCATTAACTTTCATTTATAGTCACTCAGAAAAGCTTATTATGAGTTCATTATTTTAACTGAAAGTAGATCTATAGGCAAAACTTTTGTTTTTCATTTTGGATAGAGTAAGGAAGGGTTATAACCTCTGTCTGATTTGTTTTCGCCATCTGTGTCCCATTGCAGAGATTACCCTTCACTTCCTATTCCATAGCCAAACAGGAAGTGAGAGGAAATCCCTTCAAATTAAGGTAATTCCTTGGGGACCCTCAGTTCACCAAAACTAGTGTCATGGAAAGATTTCCCCTGTATTTCCGGGGACAATCCAAAATTTGGGATTTTGATTAACTTTCACGTTCAATGATTATGGAAAACAGGACAAAAAGAGAGAATCTCCCTAACAAAGGCACATATATAAAAATGTAATAATATTTGTGTTCTAATCCCTATCAAAAACGGAAAAAAGTTGCTTTTAGTTATAATTGAAGCCTTGATGTGGGGGGGGGGGGGTAGTAGTTTTCAGTACAAACCAATAAGCAACTTTGGACACTTTTATCATTTGGTCTGGTGGTGGTCTTTCCATTGATTATCATGTTTTGTTCTGGTAACCTGTTGGGTACCCACTGGAGGGTTAGAGTATTCCTGTCTGTTGTAAGCAGCAGAACCTAAACCAGTGAGCTCTCTGAAGGTTTTACTTTCACTTCTTTGCATTTTTTTAAACTTGCCCTGGCTCCTTTGCTTACATGGCCAGGAATTCACAGCCATGTAAGTGAATTGACGTCACTGGTTGTTATGAACTTGGCGATATCTACACCCACGGGCATCCTTAACAACCATGAACAGAGAGAAGCTGCCATGTACTGTAAAATAGAGGTAGTAACAATGCTATTATACATGATGTTCTGCTCTTGCCAAACAGAAAAACGACGAGGCTTCGGATCACACTTCTGTTGGCACTAAACCTTAAAGTGTTACTAAACCCCCGACCCTGCATTCACTATATCTGGTCTCCCCGGACCCTGCATTTACTATATCTGGTCTCCCCGGACCCTGCATTCACTATATCTGGTCTCCCCGGACCCTGCATTCACTATATCTGGTCTCCCCGGACCCTGCATTTACTATATCTGGTCTCCCCGGACCCTGCATTCACTATATCTGGTCTCCCCGGACCCTGCATTCACTATATCTGGTCTCCCCGGACCCTGCATTCACTATATCTGGTCTCCCCAGACCCTGCATTCACTATATCTGGTCTCCCCAGACCCTGCATTCACTATATCAGGTCTCCCCGGACCCTGCATTCACTATATCTGGTCTCCCCGGACCCTGCACTCGCTATATCCGCACTCCCAGGACCCTGCATTCACTATATCCGCACTCCCCGGACCCTGCATTCACTATATCCGCTCTCCCCGAACCCTGCATTCACTATATCTGGTCTCCCCGGACCCTGCATTCACTATATCCGGTCTCCCCGGACCCCACATTCACTATATCCGGTCTCCCCAGACCCTGCATTCACTATATCCGGTCTCCCCGGACCCTGCATTCACTATATCCGGTCTCCCCGGACACTGCATTCACTATATCCACTCTCCCCGGACCCTGCATTCACTATATCCGCTCTCCCCGGACCCTGCATTCACTATATCCGGTCTCCCCGGACCCTGCATTCACTATATCCGCTCTCGCCGGACCCTGCATTCACTATATCCGGTCTCCCCGGACCCTGCATTCACTATATCTGCTCTCGCCGGACCCCTGCATTCACTATATCCGGTCTCCCGGACCCTGCATTCACTATATCCGCTCTCCCCGGACCCTGCATTCACTATATCCGCTCTCGCCGGACCCCGCATTCACTATATCCGCTCTCGCCGGACCCCGCATTCACTATATCCACTCTCCCCGGACCCTACATTCACTATATCCGGTCTCCCCGGACCCTGCATTCACTATATCCGGTCTCCCCGGACCCTGCATTCACTATATCCGCTCTCCCCGGACCCCACATTCACTATATCCGCTCTCCCCGGACCCCGCATTCACTATATCTGGTCTCCTCAGACCCTGCATTCACTATATCCGGTCTCCCCGGACCCCGCAATCACTATATCCGCTCTCCCCGGACCCTGCATTCACTATATCCACTCTCCCCGGACCCCGCATTCACTATATCCGCTCTCTCGGACCCCGCATTCACTATATCCGCTCTCTCCGGACCCCGCATTCACTATATCCAGTCTCCCCGGACCCCGCATTCACTATATCTGGTCTCCCCAGACCCTGCATTCACTATATCTGGTCTCCCCGGACCCCGCATTCACTATATCCGCTCTCCCCGGACCCTGCATTTACTATATCCGCTCTCCCCAGACCCTGCATTCACTATATCCGGTCTCCCCGAACCCTGCATTTACTATATCTGGTCTCCCCGGACCCTGCATTCTCTATATCCGCTCTCCCCGGACCCTGCATTCACTATATCTGGTATCCCACAGTACACAGAACATGGAATTGCAATTATTTTAGTAAATATAAACCCTAAGTACCTTTTCTCATCAGCAGTATATAGCAGTCTTGTGACTTTTTTTGTCTTTTGGCATTTTTTTCTACAGCCAGTAAACTCCCCAGCATGTTCTCCTATGTGTCCATCCCCGGCATGTTATCCTGTGTGTCCATCCCCGGCATGTTATCCTACGTGTCCATCCCCAGCATGTTATCCTATGTGTCCATCCCCGGCATGTTCTCCTATGTGTCCATCCCCTGCATGTTATCCTGTGTGTCCATCCCCGGCATGTTATCCTACGTGTCCATCCCCAGCATGTTATCCTATGTGTCCATCCCCGGCATGTTATCCTATGTGTCCATCCCCAGCGTGTTATCCTATGTGTCCATCCCCGGCATGTTATCCTATGTGTCCATCCCCGGCATGTTATCCTATGTGTCCATCCCCGGCATGTTATCCTATGTGTCCATCCCAGGCGTGTTCTCCTATGTGTCCATCCCCAGCATGTTATCCTACGTGTCCATCCCGGCATGTTCTCCTATGTGTCCATCCCCGGCATGTTATCCTATGTGTCCATCCCCGGCATGTTCTCCTATGTGTCCATCCCCGGCATGTTATCCTATGTGTCCATCCCCGGCATGTTATCCTATGTATCCATCCCCGGCATGTTATCCTACGTGTCCATCCCCGGCATGTTATCCTACGTGTCCATCCCCGGCATGTTATCCTGTGTGTCCATCCCCGGCATGTTCTCCTATGTGTCCATCCCCGGCATGTTCTCCTATGTGTCCATCCCCGGCATGTTATCCTATGTGTCCATCCCCGGCATGTTATCCTATGTATCCATCCCCGGCATGTTATCCTATGTGTCCATCCCGGGCATGTTATCCTATGTGTCCATCCCCAGCATGTTATCTTATGTGTCCATCCCCGGCATGTTCTCCTATGTGTCCATCCCCGGCATGTTCTCCTATGTGTCCATCCCCGGCATGTTCTCCTGTGTGTCCATCCCCGGCATGTTATCCTATGTGTCCATCCCCGGCATGTTCTCCTGTGTGTCCATCCCCGGCATGTTATCCTATGTGTCCATCCCCGGCATGTTATCCTGTGTGTCCATCCCCGGCATGTTATCTTATGTGTCCATCCCCGGCATGTTCTCCTATGTGTCCATCCCCGGCATGTTCTCCTATGTGTCCATCCCCGGCATGTTCTCCTATGTGTCCATCCCCGGCATGTTATCCTATGTGTCCATCCCCGGCATGTTATCCTATGTATCCATCCCCGGCATGTTATCCTACGTGTCCATCCCCGGCATGTTATCCTACGTGTCCATCCCCGGCATGTTATCCTGTGTGTCCATCCCCGGCATGTTCTCCTATGTGTCCATCCCCGGCATGTTCTCCTATGTGTCCATCCCCGGCATGTTATCCTATGTGTCCATCCCCGGCATGTTATCCTATGTATCCATCCCCGGCATGTTATCCTATGTGTCCATCCCGGGCATGTTATCCTATGTGTCCATCCCCAGCATGTTATCTTATGTGTCCATCCCCGGCATGTTCTCCTATGTGTCCATCCCCGGCATGTTCTCCTATGTGTCCATCCCCGGCATGTTCTCCTGTGTGTCCATCCCCGGCATGTTATCCTATGTGTCCATCCCCGGCATGTTCTCCTGTGTGTCCATCCCCGGCATGTTATCCTATGTGTCCATCCCCGGCATGTTATCCTGTGTGTCCATCCCCGGCATGTTATCCTGTGTGTCCATCCCCGGCATGTTATCCTGTGTGTCCATCCCCGGCATGTTATCCTATGTGTCCATCCCCGGCATGTTCTCCTGTGTGTCCATCCCTGCCATGTTATCCTGTGTGTCCATCCCCGCCATGTTATCCTGTGTGTCCATCCCCGGCATGTTATCCTATGTGTCCATGCACACATGTAATCAGCGTTTTTTTGGCTGAAAAAAAAAAAAAAAACAGAACTAGTGTGTTTCTAGAGGAGTTTTTTAGCTGGAAAAACGCTCTAACACTGAAAAATGCGGTAAAAGTGGCAAAACACGGTAAAATGCAGCAAAGCATTTTTGGACTTTTTTGAGCAAAAAAAACCCGCAAACACGGAAAAACACAGCAAAACGCTAATGCAAAAACACTAAAAAAAGCCACAAAACTTGCGTTTTTTACATGACTTTACACAGCTAACGCTACCAGTGTTATTGAAACGCCGAGTGTGCATGGAGTCTAAAAAAAGAAGCAGCAGACTAATAAGCTCATCTCTCTGTCACTCTGCTTTCCTTTCTATCAGCATGTTCCTTGCACTCCGAATCTCTCCAGAACAGGGGCGGACTGACCATTTGGAAACTTGGGCACTGCCTGAGGGCCCAGGGTCAGTAGGGGGCCCCATGAAATGCCCCTGTACCTTTTTCATAGTCTTTTTTGAGTTTGGGCAAGGACACAGGGGCCCCATGATCCCCTATTGCCCGGGGGCCCCATGAGTTGTCAGTCCGCCCCTGCTCCAGAAGATAGTAGCTTCTAGTCTTAGACCCCAGGCATTTTGCTGAAGGCCCTGGGCCAGTGATAAGCTGGCAAGGCCTGGCATTGCCCATAACTCAAAAGGTTATGGTATTTCTAAGTCTCCTTTAGGTTTGATTACTGCAATGTGGACAACCCATAATTGCCATACACACCTTTTGGTGTATATAAATTTTGAGGAAAATATTGTTATGGTGGATTTTGTATTTTTTGTGCTTAATGGCTCCAGAGGAAGCTACACTAACCTGCCTTATTATAATACACAAAGGACTTCTTATTTTTGAACAATCTTTTAGTTATATCAGGCGTGTGCATGTAACAGTCCGCTGACAATACATAACGATTACTCAGTTGTCTCATTACTAGGAGCTGTTATTCCCTTGACTGTAAGAAACAGAAATATAAAGAGTTGTCAAGAGTAAGGGTGTTACTTACTATGATACTAGGAGTGACGTTGCTCTAACAGGTACAAGATGTCTAGATATTTACTTTTTATATACTTTTATATTTTATTATTAGTTTTTGTGGGGGTCTTTAGGCAATTTTGTTCCATTGGCACAGTTTCAGAGACACTCCAGCCATAAAAATGCCATACTCAGGGGCGGACTGACAACTCATGGGGCTCCCGGGCAATAGGGGATCATGGGGCCCCTGTGTCTTTGCCCAAACTCAAAAAAGCCTGTGAAAAAGGTACCAGGGGCATCTCATGGGGCACCTTACTGACCCCGGGCCCTCAGGCAGTGCCCGAGTTTCCAAATGGTCAGTCCGCCCCTGTACATACTATTATATCAAGATTTGAAATGCAATAAGCTGAGAGAATAAAAGAGGACAGAGATTGTAAGCTTACTAAAACTATTGGTTAAAGACTGCAGACAAGATATGGGTATGGTTCGAGACTAGAGCCAAACTATAGGAGACAAATAGTCAGACACTGGGGGCATGTTACACGGGACTGCTAGAGAACTCTGCCATTAAGTCCCCCTGTAACACCCTACTAGGTAGCTAGGGAGAGCTCTAGCTTCAATTGTTAGACAGAGCAGCAGCTCAGGTGCAACAGTCAGGGGTTAAATTTGGATCAGACCTGAGAGGCTCTGCAGACCAGCCCTTTGAGATTTCTCCCTGTTCTAAAACTTTGGAGAAACATCTAGAAGCAGTGGCTCATCTGTACACTTAGAGGATCCTGGCCAATTCCCAACAGGAGGATTGGCAAAGGGTTGGGACAGCCTTTAAGAGTAATTGAGCCTGCTCAGCTGCAGGAGAGTAGAAGAGGAGTTCGGGTGGAAGAGAAGGATGTGAGGCTGAGGTGTAGGAGCCTGGGAGGGGGCCCAGATGAAAGAAGAGCTCACCTCCAGGCTGGGACCTTGGAAGGAGGAAAACTCAAGACTTCATCAGCCTCCTGAAGGAGGATCACTTGTGCAGCAGGGAAGGAAGGACCCAGCAAGAAGGCCTGGTAGAGGGAACCAACCCACCAGCAGCACAGGAGAAGGACTGAGTAAGTAGACCTACACCCCCTGAGCCAGATAGTGGGAAACTGGATTAGCCTGCCACCCAGGACTGTTTCACCCCCCCCCCCCCCGCATCTAAATGTGTCCCACCCTTTCACCTGCAAATTCCACCCATTCCTCTTTAGGCTCCACTTCTTCCTATTAGAGCTCCGCCCACTGACAACGATGGCCCGCTATTCCTCCCAATGCACCAATGATGGGACATGATTTATCACACTGAAACTAATGATGGGGCACTATTCCTCCCACTGACACCAATGATGGGGCACTATTCCTCCCACTGACACCAATGATGGGGCACTATTCCTCCCACTGACACTAATGATGGGGCACTATTCCTCCCACTAATGCCAATGATGGGGCACTATTCCTCCCACTGGTACCAACGTTGGGGCCCTATTCCTCCCACTGACACCAATGGGGCACTATTCCTCCCACTGACACCAATGATGGGACACTATTCCTCCCACTGATACCAATGATGGGGCACTATTCCTCCCACTGACACTAATGATGGGGAACTATTCCTCCCACCTGATACCAATGATGGGACACTATTCCTTCCACTGACACCAATGATGGGGCACTATTCCTCCCACTGACACTAATGATGGGGCACTATTCCTCCCACTGACACCAATGATAGTGCCCCATCATTAGTGTCAGTGGGAGGAATAGTGTCTCATCATTGTTGTCAGTGGGAGGAATAATGCTCCATCATTGGTATCAGTGGGAGGAATAGTGCACCATCATTGGTGTCAGTGGGAGGAATAGTGCCCCATCATTGGTGTCAGTGGGAGGAATAGTGTCCCATCATTGGTGTCAGTGGGAGGAATAGTGTCCCATCATTGTTGTCAGTGGGGGGAGGCAGGAACAGGTTACAAGATACAGGGGCCCATGGAAAAACACACACCAAGGCACAGACTGCAGGTCTGGCCATCCCTTAAATACACCTCCGTAATCAGCTTCAGGTGTTTGGCTGACTGCAGAGTTGAGTCTCTGATTGCTGAGAGCACCCGGTGGCCAGCCCTGGTACTGCAGCCCACAAGGCAGGTGAGTCCCACCATTACTGGCAAGCCCATTCCTGACACATCTGAACTCTCTCCTGTCTCACTCAGTTTGTAATCACAGCTCCTTGCTGTATTGGCCCTGTCCTGGCCTCTCAGTGTGGGTTCTCCTGATGCCCCAGGCTCTCTTACTCCTCTGAAACTTACAGATTCCCTCAGTCACCTGGACTGAGCTTTCCCAGCTTTCTCATATCCCAGATAATCTCTTAGTCTCCCATACTTGCATAGCTGCCTCAAGTCTATCAGTCTGATGGACATAGAATCTCTGCAATATGAAGTGCTGTCACTTGAGTAGACCACCTCTGTCTCCAGACAGGATCACCCTTCTGTCCTCAAATGGGACCACACCTCCCTCCTGGCTGGAGGTCTGAGATTTACCCAAGTCTTGCTTATAATGAATGTACACACCTGTATACTCACACAGCCTACAGGTCTCCAATTAGACCTGGACTCAGGCTTGAAGGCCTCATCCCACTCAAAACTCTTTGAAGCCTTCAACCTCCATACCCTGACCCAGGATCACAAAACCTAAAGAAAGCTTTAGACACAGCTAGCAAATAACATATTTGACAATATAATGCACTCTCAAGAACTAGGAGAAGCTGTAAAACTTTCAATGACCTTTGATTTCCTGCTCTCTAGATGAAGACTCAGGGTATCTAGATCTAAACCTAAGTATACACATTTTGTAAAGGTTGCTTCTATGACTTTGGGTTGCACTCATGGTGATGTTTTTTTAATCCAAGGAGCCCAGGACTAGCTCTGCACTTGTTAACTGTTCCCGTTAAATCAAAAGATGGATGGCTTCAATCTCTACTACCACTGAGGGGGAAGGGTGTCCCTTCTTCAACCTTTGCTTTTGTAGACTTTCAATCACCACCTTCTGGTCAAAAATGTTATATACTGTATACTGCTCAAAAAATTAAAGGAATGCATTTTAATAAGAGCATAGCATCAAGTCAGTGAGGGCTCGTTCACACTAGGCTGTTTTGCCAACGCTTGCCAAACGCCCCTATAGCGTTTGGCAAGCGTTGGTCCGGTGTTTGCGGAGCGTTTTTAACGCTCGGCAAACGCTCCGCAAACGCCGCATGCGCGGTTTAGCGGCGGTTGCTAGGCGTTTGCCGAGCGTTAATAACGCCCCACAAACGCCTATAATGCATTTGAGTGGTGTTACCGCTCCGCTAACACCCCGCAACCGCGTCGCAAACCGCACCGCAAACGCCGGCCGGGCGTTTGCGGAGCGGCACCATAGACGAGAATAGGAGGCTTCAAAGCCTCCTGACTCGACCAGAGGCGTCTGGTTTGCCGCGACGCGACGCAAACGCTCCTGTTAGAACAGCACCATGTGCTGTAATGTGCAGAATTGGCAGAGGCATTTGGGAAGCGGTAAAAACGCTTCCCAAACGCCTCTCTGCCGCCTGCACACAAGGCTAGTGTGAACGTAGCCTGACACTCCTGGGATATTGATCTGGTCAGGTAAGTAGCAGAGGGGGTTGTTAATCAGTTTCAGCTGCTTTGGTGTTAATGAAATTAACAACAGGTGCACTAGATGGGCAATGAGATGACCCCAACACAGGAATGGTTTTACAGGAGGAGGCCACTGACATTTTTTTCCTTACTCATCTTTTCTGACTGTTTTTCACTAGTTTTGCATTTGGCTAGGGTCAGTGTCACTACTGGTAGTATGAGGGGATACCTGGACCCTACAGAGGTTGCACAGGCAGTCCAACTCCTCTAGGATAGCATATCAATATGTGACATTGCCAAAAGGTTTGCTGCATCTCCCAGCACAGTCTCAAGAGCATGGAGGAGATTCCAGGAGATAGGCGGTTACTCTAGGAGAGCTGGACAGGGCCGTAGAAGGTCCTTAACCCATCAGTAGGGCTGGTATTTGCTCCTTGTTCAAGGAGGAACAGGATGGGTACTACCAGAGCCCTACAAAATGACCTTCAGCAGGCCACTGGTGTGAATGTCTCTGACCAAACAATCAAAAACAGACTTCATGAGGGTGGTCTGAGAGCCTGACATCCTCTAGTGGGCCCTGTGCTTATTGCCCAGCGCCATAAAGCTTGATTGGCATTTGCCATTGAACACCAGAATATGCAGGTTCACCACAGACCTCTACAGGCTAGACAATGGCACCCTGACTTCCATTAGGTATCGAGATGAAATCCTTGGACCCATTGTCAGACCCTACGCTGGTGCAGTGGGTCCTGAGTTCCTCCTTGCTCATAACAATGCCTGGCCTCATGTGGTGACAGTATGCAGGCAGGTCCTGGAGGATGAAGGAATTGATACCACTGAATGGCCCCCACACTCGCCTGACCTAAATCCAATAGAACACCTGAGGGATAACATGTTTTGGTTTATACGACGATGCCAGGTTGCACCTAGGACTGTCCAGGAGCTCAGTGATGCCCTGGTCCAGATCTGGGAGGACATCCCCCAGGACCAGGGGTGGACTGACAACTCATGGGGCCCCCGGCAATATGGGATCATGGGGCCCCTGTGTCCTTGCCCAAACTCAAAAAAGTTTATGAAAAAGGTACCAGGGGCATCTCATGGGGCCCCCTACTGACCCCGGGCCCTCGGGCAGTGCCCGAGTTTCCAAATAGTCTGACCCTACCCAGGACACCATCTGTTGTCTCATTAGCAGCATGTCCCGGCGTTGTCAGGCATCCATACAAGCATGTGGGGGCCATACCAACTACTGAGTATCATTTTGAGTTGCTGCAATGAAATTTGAGCAAAATGGACTAGGCTACTGCAAGGATGGGGCATCCTTACGTTCCTAACACATTGCCCAGTCCACATCAGTATAGATATCCAGCATATTTTTCCCCATTGAGATCTGATGTGTTTTCAAAGTGTTCCTTGAATTTTTTTTAGCAGTGTGTGTGTATATACAGTATATATATATATCCTATGCTATTCATTCCATTTAAGCACAAACTCAGTGACCAATCATTCTATATTAAAGCAAATGTCAAAACTTTATTGATACTAGTTGTATAGACAGTAGTTAAAGCCTAACGTTAGATTAGTCCCCATCCTTCCCCGTCCTCAAACCACTACTTGCTGTACTTGCAGGGTATGTACTATATTTCTAGGTGTCTTCTGACCATTTACACGATAAGCCTCTCCTTCTGCTCTAGTATTCTCCTCTAGTATTGGCCTTGGTCAGTCTGCAGTTCTCCATATAACAGCGCTCACCTTGTGATTCATGAACACTATTCTATGTAGCACTGCACCATAGGCCCTGGAGTGTTGAGAGAATGAGTATTGTTTTTTTTAATTTTTTTTTTTTTATTTGCTTGTCAAGTAAAAGACTGAGGAGGAAGTAATGCCCTAATGGTGAATTTGGGCTTTAAATCCTATTTGTCTTGTGATCTCCAGGTTATGGTAAAGAAGAATCAAACAGCAGTCACAGAATTTCTCCTCTTGGGTTTTGGAGACCTTCATGATCTAAAAATTTTACTCTTTGTCCTCCTTCTGGTCATTTACATCATGGCTCTAACAGGAAATGCCCTTGTAAGCCTTTTGGTTATGGTCAGCAAGAACCTCCATTCTCCCATGTATGTCTTTCTGAGCCAGTTGTCCTTGTCTGAGATCCTCTTCACCAGCAATATTCAGCCCAGTATGTTATGGTTGACACTGGTAGGTGGTGGAAAAATGTCCATTATTAGATGTTTATTTCATTCCTATCTGCTAGCAGCATGTGGAGTCACTCAGTGTCTGCTTTTAATTTCCATGTCCTTTGACCGATACCTGGCCATCTGCAAGCCATTGCATTATACTGTCATTATGACATGTAGACTTCAACTTCAGATTGTCAGTTTATGTTGGTCAATGGGATTAATGCTGTCACTTGTAATATATGTTTTCTTGTATAGGTTAGAATTCTGTGGTCCAGACACCATCAACCATTTCTACTGTGACGTTGCTCCTGTTTTGGAACTTTCGTGCTCAGATATTTCTTCTGTTAAGCTGGTCACTTCCATGGTGTCCACTCCTCTCATTGTCTGTCCATTATTGTTCATTATTGCCACCTATATTTTCATCTTCCACACCATCCTGAAGATCTCTTCATCCATCAAAAGGCAGAAGGCCTTCTCTACCTGTAGCTCCCACCTCACTGTAGTTTGCCTGTACTTTGGAAGCTTGGCATCTATATATATTTTTTCACCAAAAAGCAATTCCTCCAATACAAACAAATACCTGTCTTTGATATATATCTTGGTGACGCCATTTTTCAACCCTCTCATCTACAGCTTGAGGAACCAGGATATTAGAGGAGCCATTATAAAATATATTCACATTTTGGGCTCATGGCAGCTAAAATAGAACTTCCAGAAACAATTTTCTGAAACAAATGGCCACACATAAAGGCCCAGTCCATCTATTTTCATTTCTGTTAGATGGAGCCTTAAACCACCTGATAGTCTCTTCTGTTGCATGGAGACTTGGTGAGAACACTGCATTCCTTCTATGCTCCTCATAAGGATACCCACTATCCATGCTTGAATTTTTATTAACCACTTGAACTCCTGAGGATTTAGCCCTCTTAATGACCAGGCCTTTTTTTGCTGTTTGGCGCTGCACTAATTCAACTGATAATTGCGTGGTCATGCAATACAGTACATAAATTAAATTTATGTCCTTTTTTTCACATAAATAGAGCTTTCTTTTGGCGGTATTTGATCACCTGTGCACTTTTTATTTTTTGTGCTATAAACAAAAAAACCACAAAAATTTTGAAAAAAAACCCCAATATTTTCTACTTTCGGCTATAAAAAATATATCGTAAACTCAAAGTTAATCATAAATTTAAGCCAAAATGTATTCTGCTCCATGTTTTTGGTAAAAATCCCAATAAATGTATGTTGATTGCTTTGTGCGAATGTTAATTCGTCTACAAACTATGGTATAGATAATGGAATTTATCCCATTTTTTGCTATACAGCGCTGCCCTAGTTTACTGACAATTGCGCAGTCATGCAAAACTACACCCAAACAAAATTTATGTCCTTTCTTTCACACAAATAGAGCTTTCTTTCGGTGGTATTTGATCACCTGTGCGCTTTTTATTTTTTTCGCTATAAACAAAAAATTCCCCAAAATTAAAAAAAAACAATATTTTTTTATTTCCGTCATAAAAAATATCCAAAAATCTAAAATTTCATCATAAATTTAGGCCAAAATTTATTCTGCTACATGTGCTTGGTAAAAAAAAATTCCAATAAGTGTATATTGATTGCTTTGTGTGAACGTTATAGCATCTATAAACTATGGTATAGATAATTTGAAATTTACACAGCTTTTACTTTCTGACTGCCCATCACATTTCTTTAGGTGCTAAAATACCAGGATAGAACAAATACCCCCAAATGTCCCCTTTTCAAAAAGTAGACACCCTAAGCTATCTGCTGAGAGGCATATTGTGTCCATGGAAGATTTATTTTTTTTTCCGCAAGTTTCTGGAAAATGACAAAAACATTTTTTTTTTTACACAAAGTTGTTATTTAAATGATTTATTTCTTGCACAAGCCATGGGTATATGTGGAATTGCACCCAAAATACATTCTGCTACTTCTACCGAGTATGGGGATACCACACGTGTGAGACTTTTTGGAGCCTAGCCACATACAGGAGCCTGAAATCCAATGACCACTTTGAAAGCCTGAAGGTGCGTAACTTCTTCATTTCACTTCCTCACTACTTATCACAGTTTTGAAGGCCCTGACATGCCAGGATAGCACCAAACCTCCACCTCCCCCCAAATGACCCCTTTTTGGAAAGTAGACACTCCAATTAATTTAAAAAGAGGCATGGTGAGTATTTTGCAGATCTCATTTTTTCTCACAAGGTTTTGAAATATAAAAAAAAGAAAAGCAAAAATATGTTTTTGTTTTCTTTCTTCATTTTCCAAAAACTTGTGGCAACAAACGAGATCTGAAAATACTCACCATGCTTCTTATACAATTCCTTGGGGTGTCTGCTTTCCAAAAATTGGTCATTTGGGGGGGTTTGGTGCTATTCTGGCATTCCAGGGCCTCCGAAACTGTGATAAGTAGTCAGGAAGTGTAATGAGGAAATAAAGCCCTTTAAAAGCCTGAAGGTGCTTATTGGATTTTGGGGTCCTGTACTTGGCTAGACTGCCAAAATGTCTCTCACATGTGGTACCCCCATACTCGGGAGAAGTAGTAGAATGTATTTTGGGGAGTAATTCCACATATACATATGGCTTGTGTGAGCAATAAATTACTTAAATGACAATTGTGTAATTTTTTTTTTTTTGTCATTTTCCAAAAATTTGTGGTAAAAAAATAAATTCTTCTATTGATTCAACATGCCTCTCAGCAAATAGTTTGGGGTGTCTACTTTCCAAAAAGGGGTCATTTTGGGGGGTGTTGGCATTTTATGCCCAACATTAGAAGTTTATGCCACATATCACTCACTCTTCTAACCACCTGAAGACCAAGCCTGTTCTGACACTTTTTGTTCACATGAAAAAAATCTGTATTTTTTCTAGGAAATTAAAGTGAACCCCCAAACATTATATATTTTTTTAGAGCAGACACCCTAGTGAATAAAATGGTGGGTGCTGTAATTTTTTATCTCACATATTACTCACAAAAACAATTTTTCAAACGCATTTTTTTTAATGAACAAAAACACAATATATTGGCCAATTATTTGGTAAGATATAAAAGATGATGCTATGCTGAGTAAATAGATACCAAGCATGACATGCTTTAAAATTGCGTATGCCCTGTGCAATGGTGACAAATTGCATACATTTTTAATATCTATAGGCAACGCTTTAAAAGCCTTTACAAGCTACCATTTTAGATTTACAGAGGAGGTCTAGAGCTATAATTACTGCCCTTGATCTGACGTTCGTGGCGATACCTCACATGCATGGTGCAACCGCTGTTTACATACTGGCACAGGGTCAACGCTCACAACCGCAGGTGGGCGTGTGCGCGGGGGGGGGGGGCGAGGGTATCTTTTTTTTTTTTTTTTTAATTCTGATTTATTTAATTGTTTTTTACACTGTCCCTTTTAATTTTTTTTTTAATCACTTTTAATGCTGTCACAAGGAATTCAAATATCCCCTATAACTTCAATGGGCATTGTCATATATTCTTTTTTGAGAAATCTGGGGTCTATCAGACTCTAGATATCTCCTCTGCCCTTACATTATCTAATCTCACCAAGTATGGTGTGATCAGATGCTTTCCCAATTTACAAATGGCGCTGTTTATATCCTGTGCAGCTGAAGTGATGAAATGCTTGCAGCTTTCGAATTCTTAGACTATAGAGATCATTGGCACCATTCCGGTCTCCATTCAGCTCTATGGTCAGCTGGTAGAAACACTGGCTGCATTTTCAGGTTTCCCCGGTGGCACGGGACTGCCCGAGAAGGTCGTGGAAGGCAGCGGGGGAGGGGGGCCATTTTCTCCCGCTGCTTGTAAAAGTAATCCTGCAGCTAGTTAGCCACTAGGATTGCTTTTACATGAAAGCCTATCGCCGTCTGAAAAAAACAATACCAAGATGATACCTGCAGCTGCAGACATCACCCCGGTATAACCATTCAAAGTCCAGTGATGTACCAGTACGTTGCTGGTCCTTGTTGGGTGTATATGCTATGTTCTTTTTTACTTTATGCAGCCTGTGGGCTGAATGGGAAAAAAAGAGCTGCCAGAAAACGTATGTGGTATGCCCACCATTAGAATACCTCCCTGCATCCACCCACTTCTAATGGTGGGCACACATGAAATGGTCCAACAAATATAAAATATATATGCCGAAGCATAGGGGCCATCCACCCACTGGCCACCCCAGGCCCCCATGCTTCAGCATATATGCTCTTTTTTTTTTTTTAACTGCGGATGAAAAATCTCATCCGACAGCACTGCACACACCTACTTATGTCTATTCTCAGAGCAAGACCCTGTTGCTGTCAGAATAAACAAGTCAGTGCTGCAGTTTGACATTCCTGCAAAGAATACAACAATGGTTAACAATAAAACAGTAACTCAATAAAAAAAGCTATAAATGTAATATCTCTGCAAGGAAAAGTGTGTGGTGGTATGCCCACCATTAGAAAACCTCCCTTCATCCACCCACTTCTAATGGTGGGCACACATGAAATGTGCCAACAAATATAAAATATATATGCCGCAGCATAGGGGCCATCCACCCACTGGCCACCCCAGGCCCCCATGCTTCGGCATATATGCTCTTTTTTTAACTGTGGATGAAAAATCTCATCTAACAGCGCTGCCCACACTGATTTATGTATATTCTGAGAGCAAGTTCCTGTTGCTGTCAGAATAAACAGGTCAGTGCTGCAGCTGAAAGCATTCCTGCAAACAGCAAAGGTAACAATAAAACAGTAACAAAAAAACTGTAGAAGTAGAACAATAACAAAAATGACAACAACAAAAAAAACTATAACTATTTTTGGTTTTTAAAATTTTTTATTTTTTTGGGGATTTGTACTTTTTTATTTTTTTTTTAACTTCTTTTTTTTCAAACTTTTAACATGTTAAAAACAGATGGTAGGGTCTCTCCAAATGCGATAGCCAGTTTCCTGACTACCTAACATCTTTCGAGACCCTGTGTAAATGTGCCCTGAACTATGCCGTGCTGTACCCTATACTAATAGTCAACTAGTGTGTCAGGAATGGACTTACCAGTAATGGTGGGACTCACCTGCCTTGTGGGCTGCAGTACCAGGGCTGGTCAGCAGGTGCTCCCAGCAATCAGAGACCCAACCCTGCAGCCAGCCAAACACCTGAAACTGCTTATGCAGGTGTATTTAAGGAATGGCCAGACCTGCAGTCTTTGCCTTGGTGTGTGTGTTTTTCCTGGGCCCTGTATCCTGTTCCTGCATTCCTGTATTCCTGTCCCTGTCTCTGTCTGATTCGTTGCTGACCCTGCTTGATCCTGACCTCTGCTGACTTCTCCTGCTCTGATCCCTGGCTTGTGACCCCGACCATTCTCAGCCTGACCCCCTGTACCTACCTGCCTGTTAGTTGCTGTACCCGGCTCGTGACCTGACTACTCTCTGCCTGCTCCTCCTGTTCCTACCTGCCCGTTTGTTATTGACCCGGCCTGCCTGACGACGCATTGCATTGTATGTATTGTTATCTGTGGGTGGTTTGGTTGGAAAGAATTTTCGCTTTTTTTCTGGTTTTAACT